ATGAGAGAATTCTATAGCAATCTAAACAACGCTAGAGAGACAATAAATTAGAAATACGCTTATTATTTAAAACACAAAGTTGGTACGAAATGGGCAACAGATGCGTTATGCAAAAAAACACGAAATGGAGAAAGGCTAACAAGTTCATACAATATTTTTGCATATACAAGCCCCAAAGTGATGATGGTCTAATATCGGTGGTTACTGATTCTAATAAGTTGTGTAATAAATCGATATTTCGCACATTATTTAATCTGAATAAAAATGAGTAGTCGCATCTCTACCGGAAACGATGTCATTGAAGTGAAAATATTGGTGGTTAAAAGTTCGAGTTCCAGACAATTCATGTGTTGAAGGGGAGGAGTATTTACGTGACGGAGTCAAAAATCTCATAAATATATGATGAAATTGTTTAAAAATGCATGCCACTTTCCCTTCAATGGCTTCAAAGCCTGTCATAGAAATAAGATTTACCGTGTACAAATAAATGGACCTTATCATCATGTGAAAAAATAATCCTTTACATCAATCAATCAATCTTTATCAACATAGGACCAGGCATTACTGCCTCACGGTCCGAGTTGCCACACCTCACGTCAGTTCATCAAGTAGAAAGGTAGTGAGGTGAAGGATGAAGATAAGTGAATGCAGTCAAAAGAAATATAAAGCATGAGAAGAAAGGAAAGAGGAGTGACAAAATAGTGAGATTCGGTATAGCGTTGTTAAGATGAGGATAATGTGTGTATACATCTGCGCCACTGACTTCGGTTCTGAGCCATATCACCTAGGGTCTCCAACCACTGGTTCCTCTTGTCCCGCCGACCCCAACCACCTAGTCTGCATCGTCCTACATGGCTTAAACCAACAGTCAGAGACTTCATACATTGGTGCCATGTTTTAGTCTGGCCACCTCGGGCCTTTTTCCAGCCTGAACCCACCTCAGCCAACATTGTGTGACGAGGCAATCGGTGACTAGGCATACGTAGTACGTGTCCCAACCATCTCAGTCGATGAAGGTTCACAACCTCGTCGACTGACTTACCTCTTCTCCCTAAAACTCTACACCTAACTTCTGCATTACTCACATGGTGACACCACGGAATACGTCCTATACTACGAAGGCAACGGTGGTCAAACACCTGAAGCCTTTTCATGTCTTCCACTTTCAATGGCCATGTTTCACAGCCATACAGTAGAACAGAGCGGACTGCTGTGCAGTACACGCGACCCTTAATAGACAAACGAATATCACGGCGGCGCCATAGGTGGCGCAAATTGGCAAAAGCCAATCGAGCCTTTTGTATCCGTGCAGAAATCTCATCGGCAACTAACCCACCGGGTTGATCCTACTTCCCAGGTAAGTGAAGTGGTCAACACACTCAACCACTTCACTCTCTATTGTTAACCGCGGTACCGCTGAAGACCAGTCCTGGAGCAAAAATTTGCATTTGGGTGGTGAAAATCGCATCCCAAACATTCTCAAATTCCCACTCAAAGTGTTCAGAAGACTCTGCATCTTGTCAGCGTCTTCACCTAACAGGACTATGTCATCTGCATATTCTAGATCTAAGAAAATTCACCTGTGATCGGGTCAACGTCTTTGTAATTAGGTGACGAGAGGGAAACCTCCATAAGAATATCTATGATAAAATTAAATAAGAATGGGGATAGTGGGCATCCTTGACGGACACCACTTGATGAGTATAGCTCCCTGGACAACTCACCATAGGCTCTAACATGCCCACAAGTGTTCGAGTAGAGAGCTTTCAATAAGGTGATGTACTTACTAGGCACGCCTTTCAGTGACAGACACTGCCATAAGACTTCTCGATCAACGGAGTCAAATGCCGCCTTCAGGTCGAGAAATACAGCTATTGTCGGGCGTCTGTAAGCATGCCTATGTTCCAGGACCTGGCGCAGTGTGAATATTTGGTCGATACATCCACGGCCAGGTCTAAAGCCTGCCTGGTTTTCTCGGGCTTGCTGTTCCCGAGCTCCACTCAGGCGTCGGAGAATTATAGAACTTAGGATCTTAGACACTATGTTTGTCAGGCTGATTCCTCTGTGGTTATCACAAGAGGACTTCTCGCCTTTCTTGAAGACTGGGATGATCAGTGACTTAGACCAGTCGGAGGGGATCGTATTTGATTCCCATATACTGGCTAACACTTCCGTTAGCCTGACTAAGAGAACTCTACCACCATTCTTGTATACCTCAGCAGGTAGTCCGTCTGGTCCTGCTGCCCTTCCCGTTTCAGGCTACCTACCGCTTTCTCAACTTCTTCTAGTGTTGGGGGACCTGTCTCTATGTCCCATTCAGGGTCCGACTGGATAGCGGGCAGCGCAATGGTGGCTGGAGGCCAGTTAAACTGTTCCTCGAAGTGTTCTGCCCATCGTCCAGTCGTCTCCCCTGCGAGTGAATCCCAGATCCGTCCTTCTCCGCTATAGCCTCACTAACTGTTGTTGACCATTTCCCCCCAGTCTCCTTAATAAGTCTAAATAACTGTCTACTGTTACCGATCGCCGCTGCCTTTTCCATCTCTTTAGCCTTTGCTGCCCACCACTGTTCACGATCGTTGCGCAGACTTTTCGTCAGTCTATTTTTAAGTTGCGCTCGCTCTTCATTGTACTCAGAGCCTGCAGGGATGCATTCACGTGCATCCATTAGTTTGGAAGAAGCTGCTGATATCCACTGGCTCTTTTTAGCCATTATCTTGGAGTCGGCTACAGTCTCCAGTGCTGCTTTTACAGTAGACTGAAGATGGCACCAAGCTTCTTCTGGATGAGTGACAGTCTTTTGTTCCGATAACTGCCTAGCCAACTTCTCACTGAACACGGCTTTGGTGTTTTCGTTGTCCAGCAGAACTCGTAGTGGTTTTGTTGCCAAATTTTTTCTACGTCCATTGAGACGCAGGCATATACGTGCTCGGACCAACGCATGATCGCTGTCCAAACACGTACTCCAGAAGGAGCGGCAGTCTTCCACCGATCCTCTCCAGCGATGACTAATAGCAATGTGGTCTATCTGTGTCCATCGCTGAGTCGAGCTCGGTGGACGCCAGGTCAGACAGTGCCTTTCTTTATGTCTGAAATTGGTGCTGGCTGCCTCACTCAGTCTACCCACCTGTGCGTTGAAATCACCTGCAACAACCATCACGTCCGAACGTTTGGCTTTCGAGAGGAGGTTACACAGTTTACGGTAGAACTCGTCCTTCACTTCATCCAAACTATAGTCAGTGGGTGCATAAGCAGAGATTACAAAGAGACAACGGCGTGTTTCACTACTCCTTTTATTTCTCACTGTGTCGTTCAGTCGGATAGCGCAGAGGCGACTATCAACTGGGATCCAGTCCAGTAGTGAGTTTTCTGCCCTAGTGCTTAATGCTATGCCTACACCTGCAAGAACACGAGAGCTAGCCATCGAATCTCCAGAAACTCGAAGGGTGAATTTTGCGGATTCACCAGACTGGTCAGGAGAGGTCAGGTGAATAACCACACTTGGGTCCTGTATGCGTGTCTCACAAACACAGCACACATCCATGGCCCGAGTTGTTAGAGTAGAGTCTTTGCTAACGAAGCCTGTTGACCGATTTGACGGAGGGTGCGGACATTGAAGGCTCCAATATGTAATTTGGAGCGTGGTTTAAGGAGACCAGTGATGCTGTTCTGTGGACTCAGATCGTTGTCGAAGGCTGCAGAGGTAGAAGAAATTGAAGATGATGCAGCATCATTAATTAAGAGACGTGAAGGAAGATTAGAAGGTAATGATGGAGGAGGTGGATAGCAGTCAGAAGAAACTTAAGTGCTGACAGAGTCGTGAGGGCGGTTGACACTTCCTGGCTGCCCACACCGTGGAAGGCTATTTCTTCCTAAGGTACCTGAAAGAGATTTGTGTGACCGCAGAGCCCATCGGACATCTGCTTGAGGCGTCACATGCAGCCTTTTGAGTATGATTATTTTTGGGGCCGGATGGTCGAAAGGAAACGACAAGTGAACCAACACCGCCGGCCCGGTAGACCGTGGGGTATGGTGGAGTGTGTTATTTTTGGGGCCGACCTTTTCTAACTCCCCCCCCTTCCACTGAGAAGGCAGCATCAGCATGGCACTGCTAGTCATCCAAGGGAAACACCATACTGCTGTCACACCTCACCCAGCTAGCAGCAGTACGACTTCGCCCTCAGACCCCCATCATAGTGTAGCAATTTACACTATAACGGTAACTGCTTTTCGTCTAACCACTATCCAACAGACCTTTCTGGTATGGTAGGACCTCGAGGGAACAAGCATTCCACCAGCATAGCTCGTTGGGTCATTGTGATATGCGAGCCCGACCACCACGTCAAGGTAGTCATGTGCTATACTTTATGAGTAAGCTATTTATTTTATTTGGGTGCGGTTTACTTAAGACAGGACGAAAATAAACCAGGTTCTGTTGCCACGCCTAAGTAGCAAAAAATACCCTCCGTTTCTGAACTTGAATGTATATGAGTGAGTCACAGGACTTTACCGATTTAATACTGAATGAACAAAAACGTTAGAATCAAATCACATCATTGTATGTCTTATATATGGTACCTGTAATTCAATTTGCATCATCTACAACGTACGACGAGTAAGATCCAGCGAAAATTATTTCGAAAATTTTCACACTGCTTTCCATTTTGACAAAGAGTAGAATAACCGCAATTTTATATTTTCTTATAAACATGTCTGCGGCACATCTAAATATGAATAGGCTGTATTTCATTTAAACCTGTATGACACTAAAACATTCCTAAAGTTTGATTATCGTTTAAATGAAAATGAACTAAGTACGGTTTTCAGCGACTGTTGATGCATCAGATAATAATCTTAGCTGCTACATAAAGAAACGTGTAGACCAGATGACTACAAATTCTTTCGGAAGACTGAACCAGGCATATACTAATGTAACGAACTAAAAATATGACGACTGGTATCGAAATGCAAAACCGATGACAACAAAAGACGAATTTACTTACCAAACTAATTCCTTCAAATGAAAACATGACTATACTGAATGAGATTAGTAGACCTTTGAAATTAGTGATAGCTGGAAATTGATTCACCGAGTGCAATCCAGACGAGAATAGATAGCCAAATATCAGTATCATACCAATAATTGTACATATGTTAGCCAAACCAGATAAATAGGTGACCACACGCATACTACTTTTGAAATTCATTACAATTAATATCAAACAGACAACAAATCCAACCAAGTATACGTTTGTATTAAGGTGTGGGAAGAAAGACATTAAAAACTGCGAAACAAAACATTAAACAGGATAATAATCACATGTTAGATAATAACATTCAAATAGTATGTATAAAACTACTGATTCTGTATACAAGAGTTAAATATTAACTTATCCAACCTTTTGTGTACAAGGAAGCAATAGTGAGAATCCTGCTTAAATAAGTTTCAAGTATAAGCCAGTATGTGAAACACATCACTTTGAAATATTAGCAATAGAAATCATACAAGTATGGGATATTACAAAGGATCAAAAACCATAAGGTTAATGCGACTGACGTTACTTTCACAACATGAGTCCCTTACTTGTACTTCACTTCATATTCGTAGAAAATCTTCCCACATCTGTCACCCGAATCTGGTATTGTCGGACTAAACCGATCCCTCAACTACACAGAACTTAGGAGTGTTTGAATCCGGGATAACTTACTGATCATCACTGTAGTACCTACAGCAGCGAACTGCATTTCCAACTGTTACTCTTTCGAACGCTAATGATTATATATTCCGAACGAATATAGTACGCACGCTTAGCTGATAGCTTAGTACGCAAGTAATACATTAGTTGGTATTTAATATGGTCTTGGAAACCTGGAATCCGAAGTATACAGTAGATGTTCGTATACACTTTAGTTCTGTTAACAGGACTTACATATAGTTTTCACAAAAATGAAATGAGCAAATTAGTTTTCAACATTTTATACTTCCTTTGCTTTTTATATTTTGCGATCTGTACGAACAAATATTTTCTTCTATTTTTTACTAGCCATTTTCTGCTAACTCAATTAAACTTTGGGTAGCAGGTCATCAGTATTGGAAGTTATGGCTAGGGCGTTTCAAAAGGCTACTGACGAGAGCTCGTTTTATTTGCACTGAGATCGTGGATGTTCCCTCTTGACTTCCAATGCTTTCCGTACAATATTAAATTATGATATATCGAACTGAAAAACGATTACTGGCTTTATATGAATTAGGTTTTTCGATATTTATATAACTATTGTAAGTTGTTCCAGAGCCCTGTACTTCTCTAAATCCCCATATAGCTCGTCGAACAAAATATTAACTGATTTCCATCTCACAAACGAAAAGAATCTGATGTTAGTTCAGTTAACGACCAAAAGAACTCGAACACTAAAAGGAACTTATGCTACAACTTGAAGAAGTCCTCAGTGTAAAGGAATGTAATGCTGCAGAAAGCTTACATTGATTAGTCATGAGAAATTGATAGATTCAAATTATCCGATGAAGTGCAGGGTATTACGAGTATGTCCTTGTAGTACCTATCAAGCTGGAAATAACGGTCAGCAACACAATCAACAGTAACATTCCTTAAGGATTGAAGGTCTTGACTGATACATAACACCACTTTTTTGGCGACAAGATTAAAACCAATGATCCACAAAAGCGGAAAAATTCCACTCTGTGCATTCATTATTTTAACAACACGATCTCAAAGTAAGCACTTAACGTCAACCGTTAAGATATGACTGACAGCCAACCCTGAACCTAGGTGTTGTCCATGTTGACACTCATGTATCTCAAGACGCTCATGTCTCTTCAGAGATTACAACCCAACAGACTTCGGCTATTAATGAGCACATACAACTCAACAGCCACATCAGTTACCATTCGGTGATCAATTGGTAAAATTAACATCGAAACCGAGGCAACATAGCTTCCTGAGCAACTGATTTAGTAACAGCACCATTCATGTAAATCCCGTAATCTAATGAGTAAAACTTGAAAGCAGTAGGGAAATCCTATCTGAAAAACTTACATATCGGATGTTTTCCGTGATGAATAGGGTGTAGACACAACAAAACCCAACTTGCGTGACAATCAAGAAACCATTAACTGTATGTCTAAAAAATGTAAGATTTGATGGATTAAAAGTTGAGATCATACTTTACTTTTCCTTTCCACTTCCTTAACTTCTCCGGACCATATTTGAGCACAACAAAAACGGCTTCTGCATAATCTATTTTCGATCTATCCCATCCATATCTAAAGTACAATTGCACGAAAACAGTGTGTAATTACTTTCGACTTACTTCGACTGAGCCGCATTCGCAGTTCTCAGGAGGACATGCATTAGGTAAGTTGATAAGATGCCAGCTACTATAATCATAGCGAATCCCGTCTTAAGTACAATATAATATTTAACAAACATTTACCCACAAACCAGCATATTTAAAAACAACTGGCATAGAAAGTATACCAGTGCCAATATTCCCCTTGATTAAACTCATTAATGCTTGGTAATCACTACCATACATTTAGTTTAATAAATAAGAGTTAACGACCTTACTTTATGTTCCTGCCCACTGAATGAGGATTTTGTGCACGAAGTCCATTTTCATGATCATTCTGAGATGTAGTGGACTGATTATCTTCACTATTACCTAACTCATTAGTATTTTTGTGAACGTTGGCCATCTTTCACATGTCCGTTCGAAACATCTGAAATAAAGTATGAGATAACTGATCGACAGGTTTAATTACCTAACCACTAGGGGATAAATAAACTCAATTACCAAAACATCTTAATGACCCCGGGGACATCCATAGCTTACAGACAATGACACATCCAGAAGCTTGGTGCCATCTTGTTTACTGTAAAAGCAGCGCTGAAGGCCGTAGCTGACTCCTAAAGTGGCTAAAAACAGCCAGTGGATATCGGCAGCTTCTTCCGAACTAATGGATGCACATGAACGCATCCCTGCAGGCCTCGAGTACAATGAAAAGCGAGCACAACTTAAAAGTAAATTGAGAAAAAGTCTACGCAACGACTGCGAACAATGGTGGGCTGCGAAGGATTAAAGAGATGGAAAAGGCGGCGGCGATTGGTTACAGTAGACAGTAATTTAGACTTATTAAGGAAATGGGGGAAAAGGTCAGCAACGGTTAATGGGACTATAGCGGAGAAGGACAGGTCTGCGATTCACTCGCAGGGGAGACGACCGGAATGATGGGCGGGATACTTCGAAGAACAGTTCACCTGGCCTCCACACACCATTGCGTTGCCCGCTATCCAGTCGGATCCTGAATAGGACATTGAGATAGGCCCACCAACACTAGAAGTTGAGAAAGCTGTAGGTAACTTGAAACGAGGAAGGGCAGCAGAACCAGACGGACTAACTCCTGAGGTACACAAGGATGATAGTAAGGTGCTCTTAGGTTACCGGAAGTGTTAACCAGTATATGAGAATCAAATATCATCCCCTCTGAATGGTCTAAATCACTGATTATTCTAGTCTTCAAGGAAGGCGAGAAGTCCTCTTGTAATAGCCACGGAGGAATTAGCCTGACGAACATAGTGTCTAAGATTCTAGGTTCTATAATTCTTCAACGCCTGAGTGGAGCTCGGGAACAGCAAGCCCGAGAAAACCAGGCAGGCTTTACACCCGGTCGCGGGTGTATTGACCAGATATTCACACTGCCGCAGGCTCTGGAACACAAGCACGCTTACCAACACCCGAAAATAGCTGTATTTCCCTACCTGAAGGCGGCATTCGACTCCCTTGGTTAAGAAGTCTTGTAGAAATGCCTCTCACTGAAAGGTGTGCCGAATAAGTATATCACCTTAAGGCTCTCTACTAGAACACTTGTGGGCGTGTTAAAACCTATGGCGAGATATCCGTGGAGCTGTACTCGTCAAGTGGTGTCCATCACGACTGCCCACTGTCTCCATTCTTATTCAACTTTGTCATAGACATTCTTATGCAGGTCTCCCTCTCGTCGCCTGACTACAGAGGTTGACTTAACCACAGGAGAAATTTCGTTAGACCTGGAATATGCAGATAACATAGTCCTGTTAGATGAAGGCACTGACAAAATGCAGTCTTCTGAACACTTTGAATGTCAATTTGAGAATGTCTGGGATGCGGTTCTCACCACCCAAATGCAAATTTTCGCTTCACGATTCGTCTTCAATGGTGCCTCGGCTAACAGTAGACAGTGTATTGGTTGAGTGTGTTAACCACTTCGCTTACCTGGGAAGTAGGATCAGCCCTAGTGGCTGGCTCAGTAACCGATAAAATTTCTGCACGAATACAAAAGGCTCGGCTGGCTTTTATCAACTTACACCACCTGTGGTGCCGCCGTGATACCCGATTGTCTATTAAGGGCCGCGTGTACTGCACCTGTACAGCAGTCTGCTTGGTTCTACTGTATGGCTGTAAAACATGGCCATTGAAAGTTGGAAAACATGAGGCTTCAGGTACTTGACCACCGTTCCCTTCGTAGTATAGGCCATATTCCGTCGTGTCACCACGTGAGTAACGCATAAGTCAGGTGTAGAGTTTTAGCGACGGAGAAAAGGTGAACCAGTTGAAAAGGTTGTGAACCTTCATCGACTGAGATGGTTGAGACACGTGTTACGTATGCGTAGTCGTCTAAGTAAGTTCAGACTGGGAAAAGGCCCAAGGCGACCAGACTAAAACATGTCATCAATGCATGAAGTCTTTGACTGTTGGTTTGAGCCATGTGGGACGATGCAGACTAGCCAGTTCTGGTCCACGGGACAAGAGGAAGCAGTGATTGGAGACTGACTCTAGGTGATCACATGGTTCAGAACCGAAGTCAGTGACGTAAACACATTAACCTCATCTTAACGCTATATCGAATCTCACCACTTTTCTATGCTTCCTTTCTCTCTTTTAGTATGTTATATTTCTTTTGACTGAATTTTTTTTTATCTTGATCTCCCACTTCACTGCCTTTTTTTACTTGATGTACTGATATGAGCTGTGGCAACTCAGACCACTAGGCAGTAATGCCTGGTCCTATGTTAATGGATGATGATGTTAATACAGACAATAAACTGCCTATTACGAAGCTTGAATATCAGCGCATTCCATTGATAAGACATTTGGCTTGATAAGCCTGGATTAGGCTTTAAACCGCATAAGAGTTGGTCATTGTCCAAGGCCACAGAGACGAGCTGTGAATGTAGTCGTGACGGACAGTAATGCACTCTCGTGCTTTCAGAAGACAACAACAGGAGCGATTTACATCCAAACTTCGTATTCACTTCGTTCTTGAGTCATGCATGGCTCAACCAAATGGCAAGTTTTAGTGTGACTGCTGACTTTTTCAGCACACAAGCCTAGGTGTCTCAAAACAAACAGCCCAAGGGGTCGTAGATTGATTTTCTTGAGAACGACTTTGAACAACTTTGGTAACTTGTGTACATTCTAATACCCAATTTTTTAGTTCCATCTTAACCGGTTTACAGCAGGCTGTAGATATGGTTAGGTCACAAGTCAAATGCGATGTCCAACATCGTGGTGTAAGTGGCTCACTGTATGATTTGTCAAGGGATCGACTTAATATGAGCTCAGACAAGACAACATACATCACATCTAAGAACAGTATGGACATCATTCAGAAACGGTTTCATAGCTTTGACAGACTTTAACTGTGATGGGAAAGCCAAGACAACCATTATCAGTATGTTTAAGCTGTGATTACCGCAGGTCTTCGTGGGCAAATGAACGACGTAGTGCGATTAAACACAACCAAAGCGGCCAGTATGCTAAAAGTTCACAGTTGAGGGCCTGCTGGAGCCTAACTGCACCTTCAAAGTGCTGGAAATTCGATTCCTAATACATTTGATCAATCTTCCGAATTAAATCCAAGATGTACAAAGAATCCTTAGTGGTCACAATAAGCGATTTCAATTGCTAGTAAAATTTTAAAACGAATAGCTGTAGTTTTGCATTGAAATAAGCTAATTCATACAGCAATCTATAGATCATAGTAATAAGTCTCACATCCAGAAAGATTCTGGCGAACTTTCCATACATGTCATACGAATATAATCTTTGAACCCCTAAATCACCAATTCAAAAAGCTTATACGAGTTTCATCATATCATCCTTACCTAAACCTCCTAAGTCTTATCCGCAGTGTTAGAACCACGAACCTAGAAGTCTTGAGTTCACCGCCGTGCTCAACGTTCAGTAAGCTTTCCAACAATCAAAACAATGGGCGTAAAAACTTCAGATGTGAATATAAATGGAAGAGTATCCCAAACAGATACTGTCAGTGAACACTGATACACTTCCAATTTCAATTTCAAAGTGCTAACAAATATTAGTACCATTCACTGCACCAATTTAGACAGCTGTCTCATTATTTCACTTCTAGCCCGCTACTGTTCGGTGTTCTTATAAATGATTTGCCAGTGTTGCTGAAATTTACGTCACTTTTATTTGCATTCACTTCTAAGTCCTAATGCAGGTCATGATCCCTGGGGAAGTGGGTTTTCAAGGAGAACAAAATCCAAAGATGAACAGACATGAATATGGTGCTGTCAAATGCCATAAAGTAACTGGTCAAGTTCCAATTCTAGGTGGATAGGTTAGGTAGTTACCTCCCACTGAAGCTTAGGAAAGAACGCAAAGGGACGTTATTGAGGCGCTGGTGTTTTCGTCGTATTATTTTACACCCAACATTATATTTATTCCACATTGACTCAATGACTCATTAAGCAGAAAAACAATGCTGCTTACTGAAAACTATTTGAGACACATATTATCGTCCATCGCCATCTTAAGACGAAGGAGACAAACCTCACATCCATCAAAGATATTGTCTTTGCTGAAATAAATCACTCCCAAGCCTCTTCCAAAAGTACCACTTAAGAGGTTATCCATCGGGAGTACAGCATGACAGGGCGGGCGAGAAAATTCGTCCTAATACTTTCGACAACAAACTCTGTGGTCCATGAAGTTGCCTTTTCAAGGAAGTTTTTATTAATGTCTCTCCAGAGTCATGAAAATAACACCGTCCTAAGACTCTCAACATGACGACTGTATGCTAAGAGTAACTAATCAATTTCTTAAACTAGGCTCCACATATCACATTCCTGAGGACTTCAGAATTTCTTCAGTAAAATTCGTCAGTCACAAATTATGGGAGCACATATGCAGCGTCCATTTACAAGTGTGCATTGATTAACTTGTTTCTTCGCCCTCACTCCTAAGTTCTGCACAATAGTTTCAGGTTTTTGGTGGATCGTGATGCTGTAGATCCGCCTGCTTGCCCGCTGTAGCTGTAGCAAACCCGATGGGTAGTTGGGTGCCATAGAGGATGCGTGGTCTGTGACAAAACTGTGGCTCAGATAGGTTCCTCAAATGCCACATCACCAGACAGCTGATCAGACTGATTGTGAAGAGAAAGTAAGGGAAGTGAAAAGATAACCGCGGAAAAAATGGAGGGGAAGTGTAAGTGGTCTGGCGTTCAAGTAACTTCCTCCCTTTAACACTTGAAGCAGAGTTACGAATGCCGCCCGGCGTTCGTTAATCACATACAGAGTTACAAAGGAAAGTGGCTAGACAGCGTCAAAGCGCAATATGTTGGGTCGGAACAGGTACCTTTGCAGCTATAGGTTCTATTTCATATCATACCGACCCCCCCCCCAACACCTTCAGACTTCAACTACCTGAACATTGTGTTGCCTTGATGAAATACATGATTGTGGAGGACGAAGTAAAAGGAGTATTGCAATGAATTCTGTTCCTCTTTCGTCCTCAACCACCATCTTGTTTTTTCTTATGCCTCTGTTTCCGTTTCAGCCAAGCACCAGTTTCATCTTGATAAAACACAGTCTGGTTTTTGGCTGCGCCTAGCCTCTTAGCAAGCGATGACTGGGTGGAAGCACATAGATCACTTGCGAGTCTGAAAATGACAAGGGATACCCATCTGAGTAAGCTTTAGAATTTCGAGCCATTGGTCGCGAGTACAAATTCATCTTTTCCTTCACCCGACGTTAACAAGCACTGCCATAATCCCTTGGTCAATGAATGAGGCTAGAAACTTTGAATTGATCTCGGCCAAGCTGACTAAATTATTAGGTAGAAAACATAGGAACTCCCGTCGTATCTGTAATATCTAGGCAATGTTTTTTGAGTGATGAAAACTCAGTAACAAAAGCTTGCACGTTAGGTATATAAAATGTAGCAATGGTCTTCTCGTTTCTCCAAAATCATCCTAAGTCCGTCTGTAACATTGAAATTGTACGTTACTTTTGCGCGTGATCCCTGACCATATCTTTTTGTCGGTTTCTTGTTTTGTTTAGCCTGTTATTATTGTATATTTACAACACGTAACGATCTATTCCGTCTGGATAATTTGAGGCTGAATCGTAACCTATGGACAGTGATTCCCATTCTTTTGGACTACATAACTTTATTGTCAGTCGCACATCTCACAAAACCTGTTTTAAGAGTGGGACAGTCAAAGGCAAGGCGCTCAAAGTTAGACAGCCCTGGCGATAAGAATACAAGGATCGGTCCCGCCAGTATTTCGGGTTGTGAGCGAAACTCTATCGCGTCATACAACCCGGATCCTGACGAGCTTACATGCCTTGCACCTTTCGGCAGAGCTGAAGACATTGTGTCTGTAATGAATAATAACATCAAGGAAAACAGAAAAGAAATTGACAATATTAAGCCCATGATAGGCGTAACCAAGAGAGTAGTTAAGGGCTTCCGCCCCTTAGCATATCTTCTTGGGAAACACAGCAACCTAGTCCCAAACTATGTCGAGGAAGCTGAAGCTCTGATGGACCACTTAGCAACTGAAGTAATGAAGAGGCTGGCACCTTCTCAACAGACCGTGGTATGTAATGCCCCGGGTATCATATCTCTGGATGTCGTCAAGAAAATGTTGTTGAATTCCTGTGGTATGATAGCTATGCACTGTGACTAAAAACGCCCCCGCAAGAAAGCAGGACAGCTAAGTTGTCCCATCCTTTTCACGTTCACCACCTCATATGGTGGGGTGGTTCACCAACTATCAGGATCATATAAGACTAAGTAGCAATGTCAAGACTACCACAATTGTACAAGACAAACCATGTCACGGTAGAAAACAAGTGTGAAAAAGTCCTACCGCTTCAACACATGCAAACTCTGAAGGTACTGGGAAACGATCGAATAGTGCTGCTATGACCGGCAATAGTACTACGCCGGCCACTGTGGTAGTAAAGCAATCCCAAGCGGACTTGGACGTAGGTAAACGGATTCTTTAATTCCTCATGAGACCCCAAGTATCAGTACTAGTCTCCCCAAGGTAACTGTAGATGAAAACCCCTTAGTTGACAGTAACATCACTGGACACGAGCCCACGGGAAAAACCATGCACTCTAGACCTGCGAAGCTCTCGAAGGAAGCCATTTTTAGCTCACTTTGTCCAACGACGGCGAAGAATACTTCGTAGCTAGCACAGTGGATATAGACAAAACCACTACTAGACCCACGTGAAGTAGGGCATCTTGCGAAGAAAATCCACCAAAAGGGCACGTTTCACATCAAACCTCAACCTTTAGAGGGAGACGCTACAACAAAGTGTGGGCGTCTGGCGCAAGACAGTACCCTAGATCGCGCTACCCCAGCCATCAAGCCCCAGAAGGATGCCGTATGACATATCGAACACCTTCATACCGTACATGCCACATACACCCACCCGAACCTACATAGGCATTTGGATGATCCTAGTCAGTACCATGGGAATATATATTATCACTTCCCCGATACTATCCCAACTTTCGAGCCTCATCAAATTTTTTAGGATCCCGCACAATACGTGCTACTTATGGTTCATGGGATCGTTTCACCCTCCAGAAACACAAGCTTGGAGCTACCATCCTTGATATACATCGGTCATAAACCATGCTGTACTTCGCCAGTAAGAACGAACAGCCAATCAACTACGTACGCGCACCTTCTAAAAGCAGTGATCATGGGTGGTTGAGTGGTAAAACTCCGCTGGTCATATGGCCATTCACCGCTACTGCGTCCCATGCCCGTGATGCAAGTGGCACATCGTCTGACCAGCTAGACGTACAAGATATCGTAAAAGGTTTCACAAGCCATAGCAACGTTTTCACAAATCTGCTCATCAGTGCACGCTCGTTGCTGAAGAAAATTTTTGGGTTGAGAGCGACAGTCTTACTTACTAAACCTGCGGTGATATTAGTCACTGAATCACATTGCTCTGTCTCAGTCCTTCACGTGAACCCGCGCTTAGATGGTGACGCCCTTTATCGCACTAACCAGGGTCATCAGCTTGAAGAAGACTGCCTGATTTATTTATGTTGTCTTGCCACGGCTGATAAGATTGAAGGTGGTGCATTAAATGCTTTGCCTGATACAATATGGGTTATTGCAAACGGTGTAACGGAAAATTTATCTGAAAATCCCTGCTAACCACCCAATTCGATTTTATTGACATTTATTTTGATATTTTTACCCTCGTCATGGATGGTGTACCTTTGACCCTCGCCGGTGTAATGTCATTTGGTTGCTTGACTGTCTTCTTTGGCTTTTGCTCAGTATTTGCCTTTGTATGACTGAGACTTATCATGAACGTTTCACTTTTCTATTATATGACGCTGGACTGCTGACAAGGTGATGTTGTTTTACTGCGCCGACACTTTGTTTTGGTTCAACTTACGGTTGTGCTGTGATTTGATTGTTTGTCTTTTGACTGTCTACCGGAAACGTTTATTTGTTGGTTGGATTCCGGTAGACAAAGTTTTGATCCCTTTTGTCAGGAATATTCTTTTTGAATGTCAGGTACTTAACAGTTGTATTTGCTTAACCAGTTTTTACGGCTTAGTACGTATTTGTAGCGAGAACGTTTTGGACTGTATAGTTACCCAACGGCACTGTTGAGGTATTTTTGTGATTTTGATGTAACTTGTTGTCGCTTTGATAGTAACGCAGATTTTGTAACGAATCTACCACTGATTTACTACAAACCATGTTTTGATACTTTGATCCGAAATTTGACTGTGTCACTAGCGGAGGCTCTGAAGCTATGCAGTAGAATGCATGAACTAGTTAGATTCGCGTCAGTTGGCACCGCCTAGTTATTTCCCGCTTTCGGGCCAAGATTACTGAATTTCGGCGGCTACAAGCGGTACTAACTATAAAATCCTTTTATGCTGTGTTTATAGAACCCAGTG